CACCTTTGTCTGAGGAGATAAACCCTGTGCTACCAGAGGCAACAGTCATGGCCTCCCCTGAAGCAGTTGCCAGGCAAGATAATGTTGATTCTCCTCGGGAGGCACCCCCAACGCCTCTGTTTGCTTCTAGACCTACAGCTAGACTAAAACCCCAGTGGGCCCCTAGAGGTGAGGTTGAGAGTGTGACCCATGAGGAGGTATGCTACACTCTAAAAGAACTGTTTGCATTCTCTAATTTATATCAGCAGAAATCTGGAGAACAGGCATGGGAATGGATATTAAGAGTGTGGGATAATGGTGGAAGGAACATAGTGTTGGATCAGGCTGAATTTATTGATTTGGACCCACTAAGTAGGGACTCTGCATTTAATGTTGCAGCTCAGGGAGTTAAAAAAGGTTCTAATAGTTTATTTGCTTGGTTAGCTGAAACATGGATTAAAAGATGGCCCAGTGTGAGCAAGCTGGAAATGCCTGATCTCCCTTGGTTTAATGTAGAGGAAGGGATCCAAAGGCTCAGGGAGACTGGGATGGTGGAGTGGATTAGTCACTTTAGACCTACTCATTCCAGCTGGGAGAGTCCAGAAGATATACCCTTGACCAGTGCATTATGAAACAGATTTGTGAGGGCAGCACTTGCATCTTTGAAGAGCCCTATAATTGCTGTTTTCTGCATGTCAGATCTAATGGTGGGAACGGCAGTCACTCAACTACAAAATTTAAATACAATGGGAATAATTGGATCCCGAGGTGGCAGGGTCCAAGTGGTGGCACTCAACCATCAAAGGCAAGGTGGGTGTAGCTACTGTAATGGACAGCAGAGGTAAAACAGCAATCAGAATAATCTGACTCGTGTAGACCTCTGTCATTGGCTAATTAATCCTGGTATTCCTAGAAGTGAAATTGGTAGGGAGCCTACTGCATTCCTACTTAATTTATAAAGCAGAAAACTTCTAAGTCAAATGGACAAAAGACTAATTTGAATTACAAAAACAGAGAATCACAGCCTCTCAGTCAGTTTCCAGACTTAAGCCAGTTTACAGATGCAGAATCCCTTGAATGAAGGGGAGGCTGGGTCCTCTTGAGGAAGGACCCCACTACATTACCGACAATTTATGCAGTGAATCTTTCTTCCATCCTTCTCCAAGAAGATCTCTGGCCTTTTACCAGGGTGACTGTGCATTGGGGAAAGGGAAGTGATTAGACATTTCGAAGACTACTGGACACTGGCTCTGAGCTGATGTTGATTCCAGGGGACCCAAAATGTTACTGTGGTCCTCCCGTTAAAGTAGGGGCTTATAAAGGTCAGGTAATTAATGGAGTTTTAGCTCAGGTCTGACTTACAGAGGGTCCAGAGGGTTCCCAGACTCATCATGTGGTCATTTCCCCAGTGCCAGAATGCATAATTGGCATAGATATACTTAGCAGCTGGAAGAACCCCCACATTGGCTCCCTGACTGGTAGGGTGAGGGCTATTATGGTGGTAAGGGCCAAATGGAAGCCATTAGAGCTGCCTCTATCTAGAAAAATAGTAAATCAAAAACAGTATCACATCCCTGGAGGGATTGTGGAGATAGTGCCACCATCAAGGACTTGAAAGATGCAGGGGTGATGATTCCCACCACATCCCCATTCAACTCTCCCATTTGGCCTGTGCAGAAGACAGATGGATCTTGGAGGATGACAATGGATTATCATAAGCTTAACCAAGTGGTGACTCCAACTGCAGCTGCCTGTACCAGATGTGGTTTCATTGCTTGAGCAAATTCACACATCTCCTGGTATCTGGTATGCAGCCATTGACAAGGCAAATGCCCTTTTTTCCATTCCTGTCCATAAGGCCCACTAGATGCAATTTGCCTTCAGCTGGCAAGGCCAGCAATATACCTTTACTGTCCTACCTCAGGGGTATATCAACTCTCTAGCTTTGTGTCATAATCTTATTCAGAAAGACCTTGATAGCTTTTCACTTCTGCAAGATATCACACTGGTTCATTACACTGATGACCTTATGCTGACTGGATCCAGTGAGCAAAAAGTAGCAAACACACTGAACTTATTGATAAGACATTTGCATGTCAGAGGATGGGAAATAAATCTGACTAAAATTCAGGGACCTTCTACCTCAGTAAAATTTCTAGGGGTACAGTGGTGTGGGGCCTGTCAAGATATTCCTTCTAAGGTGAAGGATACGTTGCTGCACTTGGCCCCTCCTACAACCAAGAAAGAGGCACAAGTCTAGCAGGCCTATTTGGATTTTGGAAGCAACATATTCCTCATTTGGTGTGTTGCTCTGTCCCATTTATCGAGTGACCTGAAAGGCTGCCAGTTTTGAGTGGGGTCCAGAACAAGAGAAGGCTTTGCAACAGGTCCAGGCTGCTGAGCAAGCTGCTCTGCCACTTGGGCCATATGACCCAGCAGATCCAATGGTGCTTGAGGTGTCAGTGGCAGATAGGGATGTTTTTGGAGCCTTTGGCAGGTTGCCATAGATGAATCACAGCAGAGGCCTCTAGGATTTTGGAGCAAGGCCCTGCCATCTTCTGCAGATAACTACTCTCCTTTTGAGAGACAGCTCTTGGTCTGTTACTGGGCTTTGGTGGAAACTGAATGTTTGACTGTGGGCCACCAAGTCATCATGCGACCTGAACTGCCTATCATGAACTGGGTGCTTTCTGGTCCATCTAGCCATAAAGTGGGTGGTGCACACACAGCAGCATTCCATCATCAAATGGAAGTGGTATATACGTGATCGGGCTCGAGCAGGTCCTGAAGGCACAAGTAAGTTACATGAGGAAGTGGCTCAAATGCCCATGGCCTCCACTCCTGCCACCGTGCCTTCTCTCCCCTACCCTGCACTGATGGACTCATAGGGAGTTCCCTATGATCAGTTGACAGAGGAAGAGAAGACTAGGGCCTGGTTCACAGATGATTCTGCACGATATGCAGGCACCACCTGAAAGTGGACAGCTGCAGCACTACAGCCCCTTTCTAGGACATCCCTGAAGGAGAGCAGTGAAGGGAAATCTTCCCAGTGGGCAGAACTTCAAGCAGTGCACCTGGCTGTTCACTTTGCATGGAAGGAGAAATGGCCAGATGTGTGATTATATACTGATTTACGGGCTGTAGCCAATGGTTTGGCTGGATGGTCAGGGACTTTGAAGAAGCACGATTGGAAAATTGGTGACAAAGAAATTTGGGGAAGAGGTATGTAGATGGACCTCTGTGAGGGGTCAGAAACCATGAAGATATTTGTATACTATGTGAGTGCTCACCAACAGGTGACCTCAGCAGAGGAGGATTTTAATAATCCTGGATAGGATTATTATCCAGGATCCATCCAGGATGAATAGGATGACTCATTCTGTGGACACCACTCAGCCTCTTTTCCCAGCCACCCAATGGGTCCATGAACAAAGTGGCCATGATGGCAGGGATGGGGGTTACGCATGGACTCAGCAACATGGACTTCCACTCACCAATGCTGCCCTGGCTATGGCCACTGCTGAGTGCCCAATTTGCCAGCAACAGAAACCAACACTGAGCCCTTGATATGCTACCAGGAGACACAACAATTCCGTTAAACTGAAAGTTAAGATTGCCACCTGGACACTTTGGGCTCCTCCTACCTTTAAATCAACAGGCTAAGAAGGGAGTTATAGTGTTGGCTGGGGTGATTGACCTGGACTATCAAGATGAAATCAGTCTACTACTCCACAATGGAAGTAAGGAAGAATATGCATGGAATACAGGAGATCCATTAGGGCATCTCTTAGTATTAAGAGATCCTGTGATTAAGGTCAATGGGAAACTACAACAGCTTAATCCAGGCAGGATTACAAATGGCCCAGACCCCTCAGGAATGAAAGTTTGGTCACTCCACCAGGAAAAACACCACGACCTGCTGAGGTGCTTGCTGAAGGCAGAGGGAATACAGAATGGATAGCAGAAGGAAGTGGTCATCAATACCAGCTATGACCACATGACCAGCTGCAGAAGCAGGAACTGTAATGGTCATGAGTATTTCCTCCCTCTTTTGCTAAAAATATGTTTGTGCATGCATGCACTTGTGCTAAGGAAAATATTTTATTTCTTTTTCCTTTATCATATGACATAGGATTTAGTGACCTCACATCAGCATTTAAGTATTGTTAACTTTATGTGATAGTGTTTGGGTTGGGGATTGGTGTGTTTCTGGTTGTATGAAGGATAGTCGTATTATGTTAGGTGTAATTATGACCTTATTATTGTCTTTATTTGAAGATTATGTATGATCTCAGGAGATGTGCATGGGTTCAAGTTGACAAGGGGTGGACTTGTGATGATTAATACTGAGTGTCAACTTGACTGGATTGAAGGATACAAAGTATTGATCTTGGGTGTGTCTGTGAAGGTATTGCCAAAACAGATTAACATTTGAGTCAGTGGGCTGGGCAAGGCAGAGCCACCCTTAATCTGGTGGACACAATCTAATCCGCTGCCAGTGAATATAAAGAAGGCAGAAAAACATGAAAAGGAGAGACTGGCCTAGCCTCCCAGCCTACATCTTTCTCCTGTGCTGGATGCTTCCTGCCCTGGAACACTGGACTCCAAGTTCTTCAGTTTTGGGACTTGGATTGGCTCTCCTTGCTCCTCAGCTTGCAAACGGCCTATTGTGGGACCTTGTGAGCATGTAAGTTAATATTTAATAAACTCCCCTATATATA